ACATAGATGAGTGATCCTCCAACAGAAGGTAGGGAAGACATTCACAGGGCAGGGCGCACAAATCAGAATTACCTGGGGGACTTTAGATTCCAATTTGTCCCCTTTTCCATAGTGAGAATCATTGCCATTGTGAGCCACTGTGACAGCTAGGGGTGCAAGGTCCCTCAGGTGAGCTGAAGCAGAAACCAGGCATGGCTGTTACTGCAGGCACACACCCTAACCTTCACTATGTACGTCGTGTGGTCAGGTGTAAAGCTGCTTAGAATTCCACTGACTTATTCTACTTTCAGAGTCCCTGGACACTGAAAACAGTTAACACACTTAGGGGCTAACCAAAAGATTGGAGGAGCAAGTACATCCAGAGGTACCTCAGAAGAAAGGCCTGGTGATCTACTTCTGAAAAATCATCCACTGAAAATCCTATGGAGCACAGTTCTACCCTGATGCACTTGGTGCTGCCATTAGTCAGAGTCAAGTCCATGCAATTAGTTATTCTATTTTCACTACTGTCTCCTGATTCATTACCCCCCTCGCCTTTTCAATTCAACACACATTATAGAGCATCTGTTTGATGCAAAGCTATGGGCCCTTGAGGTCTAAGTCTCTGATCCAGTTAGTTGTGCCTAATACTTGCAGATTAACCAAAAATCACTCTTAACACTCAAATATCTAAACTACCTGTATGTTCCAAGGCGTAAATATTAGCACAGACTTCAAATACAAACCCCAGGCAAGCTGTTAAATGGAGTACAAAAAACAGGGAAAGAAGCTGGTATTTTTTCCCCGCTAAAGAAAGTTTTGTGAAAAATAAATTTATCGAAGAATTAATATTTAATGTAAGATATGTGCTTATAATGGAATCAAAGTTTTCAAAAGTGATCATGAGAATCATCATTATGATGATTACATGTCAGTGATTATTTTCCTTAGTATTTAGATGAGGAAACTGAAAGAGGAAGAGTATCAGGATTGCATAACTTGACCTATCAGTGTCAGACCACAATTTGATGCTCCCAGGGCACAACCATCCAACAGGGGTGATCAAAGTCACGCTTCCTTGGTCTGTGTTAAAGCAAGAAACTTCATGGGCGATGTAGAGCTGAAAACTGCGCAGTGAAGTCCCAGGTCTACTGCTAACTGCTATGTAGTGACCCTCAAGATTATTTCGCATTGCCTTATCCATAAAATGATGAGGTCAAAGTAAAAGTGTGTCATTTCCAAGTTGACTCATGGTTTAATATCCCAGGAATCTATGAATTACAACTAAGATTTCTTTCCTACCTGCAAGAATTCCTTTAATTTTTATTCTGAATAAGCTTTTTCTTGCCACTTGGCCCTCTGTTTTAGCTGTATCCTGAGAACCTAGAAAGGAAGGCTGGGTGTTGCCTGGTGGCCCGCTGTGCTGGAACCAGCTAACACCAACCAACCAGTTGCCATCAAGTGGATTCAGATTCATGGTAACCCCATGTGCATTAGAGTAGAACTGTGCTCCATAGGGTTTTCAGTGCCTGATTCTTTGGAAGTAGATTTGAAGTACCTCTGGGTGGACTCAAACCATCAACCTTTCGGTTAGCAGCGAAGCATTAACCACGTGAGCCACTCTGGAACTCTGGCATCGACCAGTGAGAGCCTATTGTTAGTATCTTTTTCCAATTCGACCTCCAGTGAAGTCACGTTGGTAGTTTGAAATCAACCATGGCAGAGTATTTACACCATGGAAATTAGCAAACCAGACAAATCGAATCAGTGCTGTTGTTTTCTTTTTTTATTTCTGAAAATTATTTGTTAAACATTTACCCGCACACCACTTCCTGTGAGCCAAACCCTTCCATTTCCAAGGCTAACTTCTGTGCTGAGGTCCTTCTCAAAAAACAAACGGTGTCTGACCAACTCTCATTGTATCCCAGCTACAATCATATCCCCACGAGGCCTAAATGTTGGCACTGAATGCAATTTTCTCTGCTAAAAAGAAAGAAGGGCAAGAGGAAGAGGAAGTGTAGACTCCATCTGTAGAGCTTAGGCCTCCAAGTATGATGGACCCATCCATTGGCATCAGCCTAAAGATGCTCATGGAGCTGATGATGTGGGATACTCTGGGGAGGTAGAAGAAAGGGTTCTGGTGTAAAACACAATAAACACCAAGAAGCAGGGAGACCTTTCTGTGAGTTTTCTTAATCAGTGTGAAGCTGGGGGAGGGGGTTCCTCAGAATTCGTATATCATTTAAGCTACCAAGTAGGTGTTCTATTTTTATCTAGTTTTACACCTCTGTTCATGCTTGGGTCCAGGAAAGGGTAAAATAAGAATTAGAGACCCGAAGTGAAAAAAAAGAAAATCTAGGAGAGGCTTCTTAACCCACTTTTTATTCTCAAAATAAACAGGTCTTCAGCACCTCCCACCTTCTCCCAATATTTGTCCCTAGGAAGACATTAGTCAGAGTAAGACATCCTGCTGTCTCTAGGAGGAAAAAAGCCTAAGCAAATTAAGAAACACTTTTCGAGAGTGAGTTTACAGAGATTAGAGGCTATCTCTGTAGCCCCTGTGGTCCAGCTCTGTGGTAGCCATGCACCACTTGTGTCTATTGTGCACTTGAAATGAGGCTAAGTCTGAGTTGAGATGCACTCTCAGCATGTATTACACATTGTATTTTGAAGATCTAATTAAAAAATAACAGCCGTAAAAATATCCCCAAGATTCTTATGTTATATCAAGTGTTAAAATGATACTACATTGGATATATTGGGTGAAATAAAATATCTTAATAAAATCAATTTCACCTGTTTCTCTTCACTTTTTTTTTATAATGTGCCTATTCAAAATTTTGAAATGAAATGCTGTGGCTCGCCTTTGTGCCTCACATTGTGTTTCTATTGGACAGCGCTGAATCTCGTAAATAGTCCTTGAATTATTCATCTGGCTTCTGCTCAATATCTTTCATGACAGGTAACTCACTACTCCTAAGCAGCCTATTCTATTTTAAAGAACACAAACCTTAGGATTTTCACTGGTCTTCGTTTTAATCTTTAGGGCCACAAAGAACATCTTAATCCTCTTGCACATGACAGACTTTCAAGATGAAGATGGTGATATAATGCCTAAAGCCACCCTCCCGGCCACAGTCTTCTCTCTTCCAGGTTAAGCAACTCCTCCTCTAACACCAGGCGCTAACTGAGAGATAAGCCTTATAGCCAGCACTAAGGTAAAATATCACCTCAGGCCCCAGGTATTTTTTTCTCAGTGTGTTTCTTGGGAAATGTCTCCTTCAAGTGCTTAACATACTGATTTCTTTGGAGTAATCACTAATACAGAAAGAAAATTAAGTCACTGCTCTTCATAGCTAACACTTGTGAAGTACCCACTCTGGGCCATATTCTGTTTCAAACATTTCACATATTGTAACTCATTGAATCACCACAACAACTGATGTGGCAGGTAATATTATTATCCCCATTTGATAAACAAGGAAACCAAAGCACAAAGAAATTTAAGTAACTTGCCCAAGGTCACACAGCTAGTACGAGTCAGAAACAAGGAGCAAATTACATTGCCTGTTCTTGTGTTTTTATAGTCACTGCTACTACTTAGTGGAGCCCTGGTGGCGCAGTGGGTAAGAGCTCAACTGGTAACAAAAAGGTCAGCAGTTCAAATCCACCAGCCACTCCTTGGAAACCCTATGGGGCAGTTCTACTCTCTCCTACAGGGTCGATATGAGTCGGAATTGACTCGACGGCAATGGGTACTACTACTTAGTACCTAGCACTGTTGTTGCTAGGTGCAATCGAATCGGTTTCAACTCATAGTGACCCCATGTGACAGAGTAGAACTGCCTCATAGGGTTTCCGAGGAGCAGCTGGTGGATTTGAACTGCCAACGTTTTGGTTAGCAGCTGAGCTCTTAACCACTGCACCACCAGGGCTGCAGGTTGCCAGGCTTTTCTCCCAAGGAGCTGCTGTGCAGGTTCTGTCAACCTTTCAGTTAGCAGCCAAGCACTTAACATTTTTCATCTCCAAGACACCTTCTACTTAACACTACTTATTGCTTATTATGATTTGGTTTTTTCTGCAATCAAATCCTTTCTCCTAGTACATTCCTGGCAGTAGAGATTCAGTTAACTGTCCTCCCAGTTCTCTCCCTGCCACTACCGCAATGCAAAGAGCAGTGCCATAAGCATAAACTGTACTCAGTAAATGTTGATTTGATAGAAATGAAAAATTAGGGACCAAAAACTCAAGGTGGAAATCCCTCTTATATAATCTCAAAACAGAACTAGCAGTGAAAATTCTTACAGGCACTCTCATTCTGCAGTTTAAGCAGGCTGAGTCTGGAGAAATAGAACAAGACTCAATCAGATCTCTGAAAATTTGAAAAGCTCTGAATCTGTCCCTAATGAGTAAACCACCAGTCTCCACAAAAAGACAGGAATAAGTCTACTTATGGTACAATCTGAATAATTTAGAATGCAGTGAAGGATGAACTTGCTAACAATAAAAATGATGAATGATTAAAATGGCTCACAGAAAAAAAAAGATGTGAATAAAAAAAATTGTGAATATCACACGGAATCCCCGTTTTGGGGATGCTCTGTGGTCCTGTCCTTAGACCTAGAATGCTGCCCTTTTTTTTGGCCAAAAACACTCAGAAGAGACTTGTTGGAGGTTAGGTAGAAATATTGTGAATTGAAAACCAGAATGTGCAAACCACAGAGCAGAAGACTCTCCCAGGATAAAGACGGGAAGGGCAATGTTATGAAAGAAGTCAGGAAGAGGATGCAGGGTTTGTGGGGCTCAGGGCCAGGCAGCACCTCTCCTCCAGCCCTGCGGCCTCCATGCCTGGCAGCCAGGCAGAAAGAGTGGGTTTCGCTAGGGAGCTTGTGGTACAGGGAGTTTTGCTTTCCTCCCCACCTCCTCCCCTTGAAAGGAATCCATTACATCTAACCCAGAAGAGGAAGGTTTGCCATAGGCAACAGGCACAACTCAGAAGGCAGAAGTCAGAGCAGACTTACCCAACAGCTGAACAGTCACCGGAACCTGAGAGAGGAAAACCAGGAGCACCAGCAGCCTCATGGCCAAGAGTTTATCCTTTTCTTCCATTGATGGACAGGAGGGGGTAAAAAGGAAAACAATGAGGGTGTCAGATGACCCCCTCTACCAGGTCCCTTCTCAGAGCCCTCCTGCTGAAAAGAAACGTGGAGGAAGGGCTCACTTTTAAAGGGCTCCTGAATTTAGGGGAAACCTCCAATAAGGAGATATCCTGTCACATGAGGGTGTTTGGAAAAACAGGAATTCAAAGTTACAACTTTGCTTTGTAAGCTAACTTCTGAGAAGAGCAGAAACAGAGGAAGGAGAAAAAAGGACACATGTAGGATAAGGGTGAGGATGAGGGGGAGGACAGGGCGACGGTGAGAGTGCAGAGGGAGGGCTGGCCTGCTGGGAAGGGAAGAAACGAAACAGTGTTGGGCCTCCATGCTTTCTTGGATGGAGTTGGGTGTAGGGCAGGCTGGGGGCTATTACCTGGGCCAGAAAACTGAGGGTCTCCCTGGGAAGCAGACCAATCAGGGGTCCCTTGGTCAGATAACCCTCACACTAAAGCGACAGAAATGACAGGACATTTTAACGGAAGGAGGAAATATTTATTACAGTGTTTGAAACATCCCCCTCATTCTCCACATTCAGGGCTTAGAGGTTTTTTTTGTTTTGTTTTGTTTTCTTTTCTTTTTTATTGTGCTTTAGGTGAAAGTTTACAGCTCAAGTTAGTTCCTCATTCAAAAATTTATACACATATTGTTTTCTGACATTGGTTGCAATCCCCACAGTGTGACAGCATGCTCCTCCTTTCCACCCTGGGTTCCCTGTGTCCATTAGTCCAATTCCTACCTTCTCATCTTGCTTTTGGGCAGGAGTTGTCCATTTGGTCTTGTGTATTTGATTGAACTAAGAAGCACGTTCCTCACGTGTGTTATTTTTTGGTTTATAGGCCTGTCTAATCTTTGTCTGAAAAGCAGGCTTCGGGAATGGTTTCAGTTCTGAGTTAGCAAAGTGTCAGGGCGGCCATAGTCTCGGGGGTTACTTCAGCCTCTGTCAGACCTGTAAGTCTGGTCTTTTTTCATGAATTTGAATTTTGTTCTACATTTTTGTCCCATTCTGTCCAGGACTCTCTGTTGTGATCCCTGTTAGAGCGGTCAGTCGGTGAGAGTGTTTCTTTTTTCTTAGAAAGCTTCAAAAGAAACAGTTCACACAGTGCTCTGCATCTCTTGTTAGAGGAAAAGGGAAAGTGAGGTTAAACCTAAGCGAGATCTCTGAGCTCTCCTTTGGACTGGGAAGGAGAACAATCTGGAAGAAAGCCAGAGGAAACAGTGGCAAAGGATTTGCAATAAAGCCTCACTACCCAGCCCCAAATACAGTCATCCTTTTCAAGTTTAGAACTGCTTTCTTGCTCAAATGAGAAAATCTGATTGTTTGGTCAAAAGATATATATTAATTTCATGACAAGTGGAATTCTTTCTTTAAAAAGAAAATCAAAACTGTTAACATCTCTTTCATAAACACAGTATTAACCCCCCAAACATCTATTGTGTTATTTTTTTGAAATGAAAATTCAGTTAAGAACAGTTTGAAGCAGATACTAATGATCGGATAGCCAACTGACAACTAAAAGTGTGGGAAATGTTAGTAAATCAAAAAGCAGTTGCTGGAAACATATTTTTTGAAATTTTATATTAATGTTTTATCTTCAAGGGGAAAGCTCCAAGAGTCACCGTGTTTGGAATAAATTATAAATTTTATTTCCTGATAAAAAATGTATAGTTCCCTTACTGATTTAGTTTTTTTTTTTTTTTAAACACTAATAAATTTAAGAATATTCTTACAGGAGAAAAATGGATAGTGAAGATACAGAAGAAAGGACAAATGTTTCCTTTTCACTAAGCCATTGCTTGACTGACAAACAAACAAAAAAAAGTTGGTTACAAAATAGAATTAAATAAAAATATTCCTTTCTAAAACATTGTTTTGCTGATTTAACATGAAAAAAATTTTTCAATGAGTCATTCTGGGCTTTTAAATGTAAAATAATTTTAATTTTATAAATTTCAAAAAGTTCTCATTTGGATTTATATTAAATTCAGAAACAAAAAGCAAAATTTAATTGAATTATCTCTGGTCCACATTCAGGGTTGTTTTATTGCACAAATGTGTGATAGGGCCAGTCAGGATCAGTGGTAAAATCCCTGGCTTTGACATAAAGTGAAGCCAACTGCCCCACAAATGGATTGACGTCAAGACCTTGACCTTATTGAGACAAAGATTTATCAGGTCAGGGCAGGTAACCAGGGCAACAACAAAAACATCCAACTCTTGCCACCTACTTTGTATCCTTCTGCTAAGTTTTGGCTCTTGTTTTTCGGTAGTTGTTGATGATGGCTGTTTTTAACAGGTCCTTCCTTCAAACTTAAGGACTATTTCTACAAAATGAAGGAAATCCTCACTGAGTTGCTGAACTATCTCATTTCCTTCTAGACTTTGTCTTTCTCAGTCACCACCCACCTCACACCCAGTAAACTCTGTATGAGATGAACTTACTGTCTGTCTGCTTTGGTCTGAAATAGTTCCAAGAAAATTGACTCAATAAATTCTTCGGAAACCTGTTCTAAGATTTTGCACAGATTCAGAAGTTGGTTTTATTGTTTTTAAGTAAACCTAATTTTTTTAAATTGTGCTATCGGTAAAAGTTTACAGCTCAACTTAATTTCTCAAACAAAAATTTATACACATATTTTTATGTGACATTAGTTGCAATATCTACAATGTGACAGCACACTCCCGCTTTCCACCCCTGGTTTCTTGTGTCCATTCAACCAGTTCCTGTCCCTTACTACCTTCTCATTCTGCCTTCAGACAGGAGCAGCCCATTTGGTCTCCTGTATCTGCAGCACACTCCGCACCAGTAATTTTTCTTTCTTTTTTTTATGGTCCAGTCTAATCTTTGTCTGAAGAATGGACTTCGGGAATGGTTTTTCATCTGAGTTAACAGAGCGTTCGGGCACCATAGATTTGGGGGTTCCTCCAGTTTCAGTCAAACCATTAAGTCTGGTCTTTTTACATGAGTTTGAGTTCTGTGCTGCACTTTTCTCCTGCTCCATCCGGGACTCTCTGTTGTGTTCCCTGTCAGGGCGGTCACTGGTGGTAGCCGGGCACCATGTAGTTCTTCTGGTCTCAGGCTGGTACAGTCTCTGGTTTATGTGGCCCTTTTGTCTCTTGGGCTAATATTTTCCTTGTGTCTTTGGTGTTCTTCATTCTCCTTTGCTCCAAGTGTTTTTGGGTTGGGACCAATTGATGCATCTTAGATGGCTGCTGACAGGCTTTTAAGACCCCAGAGGCCACTCACCAAACTGGGTTGCAGAACATTTTCTTAATAAACTTGTTATGCCAATTGACGTAGATGTCCCCCAAAACTATGGTCCCCAGGCCCCAGCCCCAGCTATTCTGTCCCTCAAAGTGTTTGGATGTGCTCAGGAAAAGTCTTAATTTTTGCTTTGGTCCAGTTGTGCTGACTTCCCCTGTATCGTGTATTCTCCTTTCCTTCGCCTAAAATGATTCTTGTCTACTATTTAGTTAGTGAATTCCTCTCCATCCCTCTCCACACTCATAACCATTAAAGAATGCTTTCTTCTGAGTTTAAAACTTTTCTTGAGTTCTTATAATAGTGGTCTCATACAATATTTATCCTTTTGTGACTAACTGATTTCACTCAGCATAAGGCCCTCTGTATTCAACCATGTTGTGAGATATTTCTCGGATTCATCATTGTTCTTCATTGTTGCTTAGTATTCCATTGTGTGTATGTACCATAATTTGTTTATCCATTCGTCTATTGATGGGCACCTAGGTTGTTTCCATCTTTTTGTTATTGTGTACAGTGCTGCAATGAACATGGGTGTGCATATATCTATTCATGTGACAGCTCTTATTTCTCTAGGATATATTCTAAGGAGTAGGATTGCTGGAGCCTATGGAACTTCTATTTCTAGCTTTTTAAGGAAGCACCAAATCGATTTCCAAAGTGGTTGTACCATTTTACATTCCCACCAGCAGTGCATAAATGTTCCAGTCTCTCCACAACCTCTCCAATGTCTATTATTTTGTGTTTTTTGGATTAGTGCCAGCCTCGTAGGGGTGAGATGGTATCTCATGATAGTTTTGATTTGCATTTCTCTAATGGCTAATGATCATGAGCATTTCCTCATGTATTGTTAGCCACTTGAATATCTTCTTTGGTGAAGCATCTGTTCATATCCTTTGCCCATTTTTTCATCTAGTTATTTTTGTTGTTGTTGTTGAGGTGTTGCATTATCTTGTAGATTTTAGAGATTAGACCCTTATTGGGTATGTCATAGCCAAAATTTTTTTCTCAGTCTCTAGGTTCTCTTTTTACTCTTTTGGTGAAGTCTTCTGATGAGCATAGGTGTTCAATTTTTACAAGCTCCCAGTTATCTACTTTCTCTTCTGGTGTTTGTGCATTGTTAGTAATGGTTTGTATACTATTTATGCCATGTATTAGGGCTCCTAGTGTTGTCCCTATTTTTTCTAACATGATCTTTATCGTTTTAGATTTTATATTTAGGTCTTTGATCCATTTTGAGTTAGTTTTTGTACATGGCGTGAGGTATGGGTCTTGCTTCATTTTTTTGCAGATGAATATCCAGTTATGCCAGCACCATTTGTTAAGGAGACTGTCTTTTCCCCAGTTAATGGATTTTGGGCCTTTGTCAATACTAGCTGCTCATAGGTGGATGAATTTACATCTGGGTTCTCAATTCTGTTCCATTGGTCTATGTATCTATTGTTGTACCCATACCAGGCTGTTTTGACTGCAATGGCAGTATAATAGGTTCTAAAATCAGGTAGTGTGAGGCCTCCCATTTTGTTCTTCTTCTTCAGTAATTCTTTACTTATCTGGGGACTCTTCCCTTTCCATATGAAGTTGGTAATTTGTTTCTCCATCTCATTAAAAAATGTTATTGGAATTTGGATCAGGCTTGCATTGTGTCTGTAGATCAATTTGGGTACAATCGACATCTTCACAATGTTGAGTCTTCCTATCCATGAACATGGTATGTTTTTCTACTTATGTAGGTCTCTTTTGGTTTGTTGCAGTAGTGTCTTGTA